AGGACAGGACAACAAAGCCTGAATGCTTAATGACGCTGAGCTCACACACACGCTCCATAATAATGAAACACCATTCAGCAGCACCGGGCCTCCCCAGGCGGGCCCGCACCGGCCCGATAAGGCTGGGATTTGAGGCAGGGAGTTAATTAACGCGTGTTGGGTGGACTGTTTGCGCTGAGTCAAGGGTGACTTATCAGTTGCTCTGATGCACGGGTCTCCAGGCGATTCGGCACAAATTGAGAGAGAAGAGCAACTCCCAAGGAGTTTGTTTTAATTTATTCTGTCAGAGATTCCAGTGAACCATGTTAACCCTCAGCAGCAGCAGCAGGAAATGAGGTCTCCAACGAAGCTTAAGGTCTTCTCACAAAATGAGCTGAACGCCTCGCCGTGGACCTAAATATTACTAAAATGTAAATGAGGACGTCTAGTACAGAGCAGCGTGCACGGTGGTCCAGTGGAACATCTGGACTAGGTTCACACTAAAATCCAAAACATGAAATCCGTTCATGAAGAATCCAAAAGCCTCGGATGCTGGAGGTCACAAGGTCTCAGGGGTTAAACCAGCTTATTGCTTCCCAGCATGCTTTGTGGTTTGCCTTCCCTCTGCCTCCCTCCTACTCTTGGATTATCGTGTAATCCTTGATACTCATCAATCTGGAAGGTCAAAGGTGGTTGCGATTGATCATGTGAAGTTGAAATGTATCCTCTGGTTCTGCAGGAATCTTCCACATCAGCACCGACCTGAGACCGGGTCAGCACCGGTAGAAGTCCAATAAGAGTCTGTCCCTCATAAAACATCGCTATTATCCCAGGGTGAACAGAGGCACCACTGAATAGGGTCAAATGTGGGCAGGGGTTATTTTAAAATGACACCAAAGACTTAATTTAAACAGTTTCTCTAGATTAAGGACCCCTCAAGTTCCCTTACAGTCTCGTTCACATGGAGCTGCATGACATTTAGAAAACGGATGACGTGTGTGGAGAAGCCCTCCAGGATCAGACCCTCGAGGACCATCAAAACCAAGGCTTCATCCGGGATGTATAGAATCTGGATCAAATAAACAAACAGCCCATTTAAAAGTAGCGACTTCTGGTCTGACATGACTTTCATGCTCACGACTCCACAGAAACCTGCTGGTCGCAGCTCAGGTGTCTCATAAAAGCAAAACCCAGCAACTCCAGAAGCACAGACGTTTTCATGATTAGATCTGACTCAAACACCCACCTGTGTCCTGCAAAGCAGCAGTCCAAATCATGTGTGACGTAACAGTGTGTGTGTGTGTGTGCATGCTGCAGAAAAACACACTGAGGATCTGTGTTTTATCTTCTGTTTCATTAATCCGCTTTGTGCCCGAATGCCAGCCTGAAAAAAACTTCATCAATCAGGCGTTCACAATGATCCTGCACGCCCGTACACACACGTGCACGCACGGACGCATGCACACACACACACACACACACACACACACACACACACACACACACACACACACACACACACACACACACACAGTCCTCTTTGAACTTCATGTTTACCATTGAAAGGAGACAAATAACATGGTTTAAATTTGCTTCCTATTTTTCAACAACCTAATGAAACATGTGACGCCTTCTGGCGAAAACAGCAGGATTACTGTACCACAGCTCAGGCATACAGACATTAGTCTGGGGTTTGTTATGTTTCTCAAACGGTTTTCAGAACTGAACTCAGACTCTCATTCATTGGAAAACCACACAAATATGTCAGATATGACATGATTTCAGTTTCTTTGTGTTAATTAATATTTGTTTTCAATTAAAAAAACTAATTGGGTCCTTAGAGGTTAGAAATAAATGAATCTTGGACATTTTAGGACATTTTAGGACATTTTAGGAGATCACGAGATTATGTTAAGTCTAAATGTTCAAACCAGCGTTAATTTGGTTGACAAAATATTTTCGTTTTTTTCATGACAAATGAATTTTTGTGGACAAAAACAAAGTGAAAACTAAAAATGATCACTTCAAAATACATAAAATTATGATGAAAACTGATGAAAATTTTTGTTGACGAATAAAAAATGACAAAAAGTCTATCAGAAAAGTGGGTCAATGGGAGGAACGGACAAAAGAATGAATAAGCAAATGGAACAGGCGGGACTAGATGAGAAAAGAACCAATCAGAGTCTGGAGCTGAATGCTGCTTCAACAGGCTGTTGGCAAGGGGAGGGTGTACAGCAGGGGTATTTGATTCTGGGCCTGGAGGGCATCATGTTTTAACCCACCTGATTTCAATCAGCAGGTGATTAACGGGCTTCAGCAGAGCCTGACGAGCTGCTGCACAGGTGATTCAGCCACTCATTCAAGTGTGTTGGAGCAGAGAAACCACTAAAACGTGCTGGATACCGGCCCTCTAGGACCAGAATTGAATACCCCTGGTTTAAGGAATCGGTTGGTGCAAAAATTTTTTTTTTTTTGAGAAAAAGCATTCAGGCAGCCCACCTTTGCAAATCACTGCAGGGAAAACGCTAATAAATGACAATTTTTACCTTTAGTTTACCTCCTTAGAGTAACATCTTTTACCGTTTTGATAGTATGATTTCATTTTCTGTCATGTTTACAAATATTATTGCACATTATACAAATTTGTTTACATTATGATTGATATTGAGACACAATTCCAAAACGTCAAAGTGCATTTTGGTATTTTCCACTAATTGTTGCAATTAAAACAATTATAAATGTAGAGTTTTATTGATCAAAATTTTTATTTTTCATATTGCATTACAGTTTCAAGGAGGTGTAGTTAACATTTCCTTTACAAAAGTTGAAAATTATTGCATTTGATGAAGTTGCTTCATATTTTAGTTGATTAAAATAAGACTAAAATTGAAACAAATTGGATTAATAAATTATGACTAAAATTAAACAGATTTTAGTCAGAAGACTACGACTCAAACTAAAATAAAATCTGGTGTCAAAATGAACATTGGTTCAAACAAAAATCATAACAAAAATGTTTAAAAATCGGAATCTAATGAGCAGATTTAGATGGAAGGGAAGTAAAACCTAGCTTGGCCTGCCAGACTGGTCCTCTGGCTACGCAGAGAACTAGGGTGTTTCTCAATGTCAAGGCGCGCCTTGCGAAGCGACGTCTTGCGAGGCCAGACGCCTTGCTTACTGTCCTTCCTTGGTCAAAGAAAACAGTTAAATGGAACAGACTTGAATCACATAACCGCGGCTTCCACAGCGGTCACCTAACGTCATGTGACACGGGAGACATTATATTTTATACGTATTAGTTTCAATATAAATATATAATGAACCTTTAACTTTTTAAATTGTGTATATATTTATTCAATAATAATATAAGTGAGTTACTACCCACCAGCCACCGAAGCTGCAACTACTAAGCAACGAACCAGAGATAACTTCTTTGGATCTAAAAAAGTCATTTTAAATTAGCTGACTTACTTTTAAACTTGAAAATTGTCCCCGAAGTAGCTGCCGGCTTCTGATCCGCCATCCTTTTGAAAAGACTGCGGTGTATTCTGTGTAATTTTTGACCAAGGCTAGGCTACAAGACACCTCATATGAATCCTCGCTCAGCTAGCTAAAAGGCTAACAAACGGAGAACACATGCCTCGGTAGAACATGAACATTGGAAGACTGTCTTGGCGGCTCCCGATTACGTATCTCCAAGGCAACCGGGGCGGGGCCAAGACATCAAGGCAAGGTTCCTTGGCATTGAGAAACACCCCTAGTCTGGTTACTCACAGGCAGAGAGGTACATGAGGGGCGGGGCTAGCCAGCTCAAAAATAACCAATCAGAAAAATGGCAGAAATGCTGACTGTACCGCATGACGCTGTAGTTTATTAGCTGTAGTCAAAAATGGCGTCTGGCGACAGCGCAAACAACTTTTTTTTAGAAGAAAGACTTTTAGCGCTTAACTCTTTGTGGATTTAAAGACATGTTCAAGTCATTTAGAACAGAGGAAAAAGCTGCAGCGAACTCCACTTCAGTCTTCGTTGTTTATGAGAAACTGAGCGTCGTAGTGTGTGTGAGACACGCACGCTGCTCAGAGCTGAATCTGAACTTTATGGGCTCAACACACGGGAGGCGACAAACGACCGCGATCAGCAAAATTCGTCGCTGTCGCTTTTATTACCTGACACACGGGAGGCGACTCGCAGCAGCGGCCAGCGGCAAAGCCGTCTACGCGTTCTGTTCCATGGCGAAATTGAAACTTCCGTTGTTTTGTGTGGCTGTGTCAGGTTGGAGGGAATTAAGGTTATTTAAGCGGTTCAGAGTTAATAAAGTGGTAGATATGATGTTTTACAAGGTGCTGCTAGAGTTATGTGAAATCTTACTTGTGATTTTACTATATAAAACATAATAATCAACTTCTCCTCCATGTTTGCTCGGAGATGTAGGAGCATCCGGTCCGCTCATTGGTCAGTGAATGAAACCTTTGTTGATTGGTCCTCGTCCGAGCGACAGCGATGAAAAGTTGAAAATGTTTCAACTTTCTGGGATCGCATCGCTGGGTCGCCTGTGCATGACACGTGCATGAGCGCAAAATTTCACACGCACGTTTTTCGCGTTTCGCTTGGTAGGAGAGAGACCCGCGATTATCGCTTTGTCGCGCATGTCTCATTAAAAATGAATGGAAGAGAGGCGATGTCGCCTCCCGTCGAGCCCATTAGACACTCTTGAGCTAGTAGATCTTGTTATCATGCTTTTAGTTTGGTAGGTTGCTTTGGTTTAACACTGTCCGACTTAGCCAGGTTAGCTAAATATTTATTTCAAAACTCAAATATTTATATTAAACATTAACCTTTAAACTTGTGTAGCCTATTTAGATTTTATTCTAAACATTTAGATGCTCATTTGTATTTGTGAATATTTATTTAGAACCTTTAATATTTGAAGCTTAGTTTGAGGATCGGAGCCCCATACAAAAGTTTCCAGTGATGCTTTTTGATGAAAGGGTTAAACTGGGGGTAGAAGGGGCTGGGCGGTCCTGCTGTCAGACCCAGATGAAAACCCAGAAGCGCGGTTCCGGAGGGCACCGCCGTTAGATTATCGTAATTATTGGGTTTGCTCGCTGCAGGTGGAACCGGACCTGCACCTGCTGGTCCAGAACTGAAACCCACCGCGACCACAGCGAACCCACAAACTTCCAGACCGAATCCCGAATCAGCTCAGCTGAGGTGCGGCTTCACCATGAGCGCAGGCACGCGCTCGGTTCCGGTTCTGACCGCTGACGAACCGCTCGGTTCCGTCTGGAGAGCTGAAAGAGGACCGCGCGCGTGGACGGGCAGCAGCGGAGCACCTGAGCCCTGAAAGGTGAGCGAACTTTAAAGAACAATCTGGGCCCGAACTTTTCCAGTCAGATGGAGCGGAACCTCTCAGGAGAACCAGAGGATTTTTGTCACTTTAACACGCTTTAACAGAACCGAACCTGCTCCGAACCTTCAGCTTCTCCAGAACCAACATGGTTATAAAGTTTCATTTATGGGTCAGAGTCAGACGGTTTAATGAACGGTTCCGTTGGAGCGGGTTTTAATTCTGAAAATATTTTATGTGAAGTCGAACCTGAACAGAATCCTGGGTCCGGTTCTAGGGTCGCTGGTGTTACTGGATCCATCTGCTGGAGGAAGAAGGAACCAGAATTATGCTTTTATTTTGAATGACACGGTTTATTATAAAATATCAAATAATAATCAGAGCTAACTCTGGTCCTGGTTCTGATCCAGCTCTCAGATCCAGGACCCAGAGCAGGTCCAAATCCTGGACCTGGTCTAGGTTTAGTCACCTGATCGCCAGCTGATGGGATGGCTGACGGAAGGGTTTGGGACCAACTCTAGTGCAGAGGAAACATTCAAACAAGTCGGAAAAGGGTAGAATGCCTTCTCCGGGTCAGGGACGAGGTCCTGACCCGAGTGGAGGAGTTAACGTATCTCAGGGTCTTGTTCACAAGTGAGGGAAAGCTGGAGCGTGAGACTGACAGGCGGATTGGTGCTGCGTCTGCAGTGATGCGGGCGTTGTACCGGTCTGTTGTGGTGAAGAGAGAGCTGAGTCAGAAGGCGAAGCTCTCGATTTACCGGTCGATCTACGTTCCTACCCTCACCTATGGTCACGAGCTTTGGGTAATGACCGAAAGAACGAGATCGCGGATACAAGCGGCCGAAATGAGTTTTCTCCGAAGAGTGGCTGGGCTCTCCCTTAGAGATAGTGTGATAAGCTCCATCATCCGGGAGGGGCTCAGAGTAGATCCGCGGCTCCTCCACATGGAGAGGTGTCAGTTGAGATGGCTCAGGCATCTGGTTAGGGTGCCTCCTGGACGCCTCCCTGGTGAGGTTTTTCAGGCTTGTCTAACTGGGAGGAGACCCAAGGAAAGACCCAGGACACGCTGGAGGGACTATGTCTCTCACCTGGCCAGGGAACACTTTGAGGTTCCCCTGGATGAGCTGGCCCAAGTAGCTGGGGAGAGGGAAGTCTGAGTCTCTCGGATTAAGCTGTTGCCCCCGCGACCCGACTCTGGATAAGCAGAAGAAAATGGATGGATGGATGGATGGATGGACAGACATTCACATTTTGTTCTGAATCAGCTGTTTTCAGGTGGTGATGACTAACTAGTTGTCTTTGTTGTCTAGTTGGATCACCAGAGTTGACCATCCAGTCCCTGGACTCTGCTGGACCCACGGTAACTTTTCCCATCCTGGTTCTGGTCCTGCTGCCAGAATGCCCATCATCAGTAACACCAACCACGACTTCAGCACCTACTCCATCAGCAGCGATGACAGCAGCCTGGATCGCTTCTTCACCGAGATCCCAGAGACCGAGACCCTAAAGGGGGTCTACTACCAGCGAGCCCAGCGGTTCCGTGATCCCAAGGCCTCCTGCATGGTGGACCACACCCTACAGGTCCTCATTAATGTTGGGGGGAACCGCTACACCTTCCCCTGGAGCACCTTGGAGCAGTTTCCCCAGAGCCGGCTGGGTCGCCTGCGCTTCTGCACCACACCTGAAGAGATCGCCCGACTTTGCGACGACTACGATGAGACGTGTCGGGAGTTCTTCTTCGACCGGAACCCTACAGCCTTCAGGGTCATCCTCAACTTCCTGGCTGCAGGAAAACTGCGTCTTCTCCGGGAGCTGTGTGCCGTCTCTCTGCACGACGAGTTGGACTACTGGGGTGTGGACCCGGGTCACATGGAGCGGTGCTGTCGGCGCCGCATGATCACCCGCGTGGATGAGGTAGTGGAGCGCGAGCGGAAGGAAGAGGAGTGGAGGAAGAAGAGGATGATGCTAAAGAAAAGACCAGCACAGACTGAGAAGGGGTACCGCAGGCTGGTGTCGATGCTGCGGGAGGTGATGGAGAACCCCCACTCCGGTTTGGCCGGGAAGATGTTCGCCTGCCTGTCCATCATCATGGTTCTGGTCACCGTCATCAGTCTGTGCATCAGCACCATGCCGGACCTCAGAGATGAGGAGAACAGGGTCAGTACGAAGCCTTTCCTCTTCCTGTTAGTAATTATGGGATGTTCCACCTTAAACAACAGCTCACCTGTAACAACCAACCTGGTTCTAATTCACACAGGAAATGGTTTTGTTCCAGTTTGCAGGGATCTGGGCTGGGAGGGCGAGACACCATCTGACCAGTTTTCTTTTTAGTTCTTTGTGTTCAGATCACAGAGCTTAAGATATCACAATCAGAGTTCTGGTACTGCCAGGATGAGACTCTGAGACTTCCATGTGTGAGGTCCTGGTTCTGGTCCTGGTTCCAGAGCAGGAGTTCTGGTGTTTTTTAGCTGGGTGAATGTAGGATGGAGGAGAAACAGACTAACGGATAAGGGCTTCCTCTGATCTAGTCTCTGCTGGTGAAGAAGATGACACGTTTTTAGCCTGTGACATGGACAACGATGTTGTCCTACTATTGCTGGACTTATCTGCAGCTTTCGATACAGTCGACCACGAAGTCCTTCTGGACAGACTACAGCATTGGGTGGGGATAACTGGGCAGGCCCTCCAATGGCTTCGCTCCTACCTTCAAGACAGGACATTTAGTGTTCAGATGGGTGAGGTGACATCACCCAGCGTGAAACTTCGTTGGGGTGTGCCACAGGGCTCTGTCCTTGGTCCTCTCCTATTTGCTTCCTCTTGGAGTCCTCCTTCGCCAGCATAATATGAAATTTCATTTTTTTTGCTGATGACTGCCAGATCTATCTCCCTCTTCGACGTGGGGAGGATAGATCTGTTTCTCCTTTACTGGATTGTTTGAAGGACATAAAATGTTGGATGGCTTCTAATTTTTTGCACCTAAATGAGAGCAAAACGGAAGTCATAATACTTAGTCCTGGCAGAAGAAATAGCTCTGGTGCTGATATTGACCTTGGCCCATTGACCCCCTATGAAAAGAAAATGGTCAGTAATTTGGGGATTAAAATCGACTCATCACTTAATTTTGACACTCATGTAAATACAGTGGTGAGGTCCTGTTTCTTTAACCTGAAAAGACTATCCAGGATCAGGCCTCTGCTGTCCAGAGCTCATCTGGAATCTGTGTTGCATGCCTTCGTCCTGTCCCGGCTGGACTACTGCAACGCTCTGTATGCTGGTCTGGCCCAGTGCACGGTTGCACGGCTCCAGTTTGTGCAGAACTCTGTGGCTAGGTTCCTGACAGGTACTAGATGTCGAGAGCACATTACTCCAGTGCTGGATGCTCTGCACTGGCTCCCGGTAAAATATCGAGCTAAGTTTAAAATCTTACCTCTCGTTTACCATGTTTAGACAGTACACTGCTGTCTGTTTCTCCGTGGTCCCACAAGTCACAAACTATGTCAGAGACTAAAATAAAAGCATGTTGAATAAAAGAGTCAAACAGTGCTGAGTGCTCCTAATCAAAACTTTGATTTAGTCGTATTTGTCTTACATTTAGGACAGATCAGCTGACTGAAGGATTCAGAGGATTTTTGCGTCCAAACAGCTGATGATGGGATGACAAGCAGGGTTTGAGCAGATGTTTTTGTCTGCTCAAGCCAGTCCTTTAAAAACAAACTAAACATTTCATTTTAATTACTGTCAAATATGTGAGAAGCAAGGAACCGTTCTGTGATTGAAGCAGGTTGGTTTGGTGTTGAGGAATAGAGCTAAGAGGATTCAGGACCACAGAGAAGGTTTAGGGTCTTAGTGAAGCAAAATCTGGATGGATGAAGTTACCAAGATAAAGCACCACAGTAATGTGTGATGCTGTACGTCCTCCTGTCTCTATGGTAACAGATGCTTTACAGGCTCCTGCATCTGTCTCCATGGGAACAGAGGCTGTATACAGTCCTGTCTCTAAACCCTCCTGTCTCCATGGTAACAGATGCTTTACACTCTCCTGTCTCCGTCTCTATGGTAACAGATGCTATACACCCTCCTGTCTCCATGGTAACAGATGCTTTACACTCTCCTGTCTCTGTCTCCATGGTAACAGATGCTATACACCCTCCTGTCTCCATGGTAACAGATGCTTTACACTCTCCTGTCTCCGTCTCCATGGTAATATAGGCTGTACACATGCATGTCTCTGTGTAAAAGAAGCTGTACATGTTCCTGTCTCTGTCTCCATGGTAACAGAGGATGTACACATATTGAGCTGTGGATCAGGTTCAGCCGTAGATCGAGTATGAAAGCAGCTCTTCCGGACCCATCAAGCCTCTTGCAAAAATCCAAATAATAATGGACTGAAAGACTCTCTTGTGCCTGTCAGAAGGAAACAGCTGTTTGACTTTCACTGAGAAGAATCCTGATGAGAGAAATCTCAACAGAACTGGTTCTAATAGAGCAGAAACAGTGTGATGATCAGGATTTTTCCTGTTTTACTCCGAAGTCCCTCTAACTAAAATCAGAACCCTCCAAATTATGTCCTTTGAATCTGCACGTATATATGCACTGGTATTAATTATGAAATTTAGCTTTCTAAAATTTACTTCAAGGCAGAAGATTCTCCTTTGATTTATATTTAGAAATATTTAAACCAGATGCTTCTAGGAGCAGCAGCTAAAGATATTTAACACCAAGTTACAGCTCAAGCAGACGTAGATATCTCAAAAATCATCGGTTAGTGTCGTGATGTGTCTGGTCCAGTTGGTCTGGGACTAAAGATGTGTTTGGAAGGTAAATGCTTAGGACAAAAATAAATCTGATTACGTGTGTGTGTGTGTGTGTGTGTGTGTGTGTGTGTGTGTGTGTGTGTGTGTGTGTGTGTGTGTGTGTGTGTGTGTGTCTGCAGGGCGAGTGCTCCCTGAAGTGCCACAACATGTTTGTGGTAGAGTCCATCTGCGTGGCCTGGTTCACTCTGGAGTTCCTACTGAGGTTTGTCAACGCTCCGAGCAAGCTAGCCTTTGCTCGCGGCCCACTCAACATCATTGACGCCATCGCCATCCTGCCATACTACGTGTCCTTGGTGCTGGACGTTGGTGATGAGTCGCAGGAGGATGTGGTCATGGGGGCCGGCAGAGGCTACCTGGATAAGCTGAGTCTGATCCTGCGGTTGCTGCGGGCACTGCGCATCCTCTACGTGATGCGGCTGGCTCGCCACTCTCTGGGCCTGCAGACCCTGGGGGTGACCATGCAGCGCAGCATGAGGGAGTTCGGCCTACTGCTGCTCTTCGTCTGCGTTGCCGTGACCCTCTACTCACCATTGGTCCACCTGGTGGAGAGCGAACTGGCACCATTCGCCGCCATAAACCCCCACCACAGATTCAGCAGCATCCCGGCCTCCTACTGGTGGGCCATCATCTCCATGACAACGGTGGGCTATGGGGACATGGTACCACGCAGCATCCCCGGACAGATGGTGGCGCTCTTTAGCATCCTTAGTGGTATCCTCATTATGGCGTTCCCCGCCACCTCCATCTTCCACACCTTCTCCCGCTCGTACCAGGAGCTGAAGCAGGAGTACAAGCGGGTGTGGAAGCAGGAGCAACACGAGGAGGCGCACCAGTCAGAGTTCACATCTGAAATAAAGGAGGAAAACCACATTCCCAACAAGACAGATCCGTCTAGACCTCCTGCCACGGCTTTCTGATGTCAGAACCAAGACTTGTTCCTCTAAAGGTCCATTCAGACTTTAAAAGCGGAGATGAGATGTTACCTTTCTGTCCGTTTCTTGTTCTGGAGTCTTCCTCTGAAATCTTCCAGCTGATTAGTCCTCCATGGTCTTCGTCTCATTCTGTTCTTCACTGACCCCTCATCAGGTTTCTGCTCTTACCTGGACAGCTGTTTGGACTCATGCTGGTGTTGTCACCTCCTGCTGGTTGGTGATTCTGGTTGGGTTCGGTTGGGATAGGTGGGGTCATGTGATGTTTTCCACATGTTTCCAAACTGGTGGTGAATTATTAGATTTACTAGTTTTCTCTTGACTGGAACCATGTAAACCTCACGCAACAAGAAACGTCCGTATCAGACTGTTTTTGTTGATCCAGATGAAATAAAAGCTGCTCAATCCATCTGGTGTCTTCTTAACCTGCTTCTGATTTTCCTGTCTGAACCTTTAAATCCACACACAGTTTAATAATCAGGTCCTCCGTTTGTCCTGAAACACGGTAAAATGTTAGTTGTTGTTTCTGTAGACTCAGAGATGCCAAATATTCCCCGAATCTGGTTGTTTAGGTGTTTTTACGGCAAAAGTTTTCATTTAGACAAAAATATTCCCCCAGAACAAAAAATTAAAGCTTGCTTGTATGAATGTGTAGCTGCTACTGCCCCCTAGCGATCAGGTTGGAGACCACAACCAGAAGCAAAGCTATACAATGAGTACAAATCTGTTTTTGGAGTTTTAATTATCATCCAAAAACAGGAGATGTTTGAAACACTTCAGTTATATATCAGTTATATATCATCTGAATTAAGAGGATGCGAGTATCAACTTATCACTTTGTTCAGCATCTGTGATGAGGCTGGCTAACCGCTGTAAAGGAGACCGTTCTTACCTGCTTATGTCATGGTCTGTGTCGGCGTCTCATCTCATGTGTCTCCTTTTGTCCTCCATTTGTTCTGTAGGTGCTTCTTTTGTTGTCCTCTAGCGCTTTCATGTGTCATGTCTGTGTCTCTATATGGCGTCTTCTGTTTGCAGACCTTTTTATCATCCCCTCAGGTCCAGTGTTCATTTAGTTATCCTCTGTGCCCCAAGTTGCAGCTCCAGCCTCTTTGTCCCCAGTTGTGAGTGATGGTGTGTGCGTGTGTTAATCCTTCCCGCAGCCTTTAGGTTCAGTTTTGTGTTTTAGAGTTTATTTGGCCCTCCTCTGTTTCTGTTTGCCCATTTTGATTATTAGGTTCACCTGTCTTCCCTCCAGCTCACTCCACACACCTGCCGCCATTTTCCCTAATCACTTCTCCCTGTGTATATAAACTCTGTCTTGTCTGTGTACGGTGTCGGTTCATTGTTGTTGTTTGTCAGCGGTGGTTTGGTGTTCTTGTCAGTCTCGTCTCATTCCTGTTCCTAGCTTCCAGTGTTTCCAGTGTTTTTTTTAGTTCTCTTGTGCTTTTGAGGACTCAGTTCAGATTTTTTTGGGATTTTTGATTCCCTGCCTTTGGATTACTACCTTAATAAAGGATTTTTACTTTATCCTCCACCTCTGCCTCGTTCATCTGGTATCTGCATCTTGGGTCCTAAAACATCCTCCTACACCAACCCTTGACAGCTCAGGTCTGCCTCAAACTTGACAAAATGGAAGAAGACTCTCTGCACAAATAAAAACCCTTTATTACAAAGTAATAAAACAGATTATTTCATTTCAAATGTTGGATAATGAAACAGCTCTGAATAACAAACATGTTATTTTATAACAGATGTGACCCACGTGTCTTCCCAGCAACAGAGCGGGAACAAATCTGGTTAATTGGAGGTTTCCTCACCTTTTGTTGATATATCAGAATGTTTAAATATAAGATATTTTGAAAATGCATCGGGTGCTCTCTCTCCATGTCAGAGGAATATTCAGCCTGACTATCTGAATAAGAGCTCAAATAAAAGAAAACAAATGAACATAATGGAAAACCTGTTTGTAATCACAGAAGAAGAGTTATGTTGCATTCCAGTTGTTCTTGGAAGTTTGAATTTCTGAGTACCAAGCTGGAAAAACGTACTTGAAGCCCACCAATCCAGATCTCCAAATTAAACATGGCTTCCTTGTGGAGAGTTGTGATGCTGCAGTGATACACTTTTTATTTAGGCCTCTGCTGGTTTTCTTCAGCCCAGTCCAACCAGTCATGATGCTGCAGACACGTCATCTTGCCGACAGTGGCCCATGAGATCATATTGCATCAGTTTCATAACTGTTAGACCGATCAGCGATCAAGAAGAGATGATGTAGTACGTTTTATGGACATCTGTCGTGTTCTGGTTTAGTTTCCTGACCCAGGACATTCAGAATCACTCACTGAGATTGGATAAAAGGGTAGAACATTATTTATTAGAAAAGGGTAACTGAAGGAGCGCCGTCAACATGAGGGGAGGGTCCGAGTGAGGTTGAAGTGTGGAGTTGAGCAGGGAATTAACGGAAGACGAGGAGGGTGGTTAGGCCTGAAGTGAGGGTCGAGCTCGAGAGGAGAATCCAGATGAGAGAAGGTGAGAGCGGGTCAGTCAGGTTGAGCGGGGAGACGTGGTCCAGTGATAATCCGTGGTTATGGCTGACGAGGTGGTGATGGCGAGTGTGGCAAGGTGGATAAACGAGGGCCTGGGCGGGATTCGACCCCCAGACTCCCGGGTGAGAGTCATACGTTCTAACCAGTCAGCCAAAGGAACATCCCCTTGGCCAAGTAGCCAGGGTGCATGATCAATCGGGACATTGTGACAGGACACTCACACTGCCACACGAGGATAGCTGAAGACAGGGAACAGGAATTACAAATGTACTAAAGCTCAAGACAAGTGCAAGATTTCTAAATTCGAGAGTTGGCTTTGTGATCTCAGGTTGGAGCAATCATCCGGCGAGGTGATGTCGTCTCCCTGCTCCTTTCACACACCAACGGGTAGATGACAGATTGGCTGCAGCTGCCCGCTCCTCTGTGCCACTCACCTGTAATTAAGCTCTCAGAGGTCATGAGTGAACCATTCACCTCAGACCATGACACATCTAATAAATTCTGTTCTATTTAGGCAAGGCAAGGCAGCTTTATTTATAGAGCACATTTCAAACACAGAGGCAATTCAATGTGCTTTACAATTATCAGGACATGACATGAAAACAACATAAAAACACTAATTAAAATACACACAAATGGAATTACAGTTTAGAGCTAAAGGGGAAGACAAAGGTACAGCGCAGGTTACAGTGGTGACGACGCATGATAAGAAACAAGTCATTTAAAGGCTGATGAGGGGTTTTAGTTTTGTTTTAAACAACACTAGGGTTGGGGCAGATCTGAGGTCAAGGGGAAGCTGATTCCATATGTGAGAAGTAGTAACTAAATGCATCTCCACCATGTTTGGTTCTGACCCGTGGTTCTACCAGCTGATTGTTTCCAAGGGATCTCATGGCCCTGTTGGGTGTATATACAGGAATGAGATCTGACATGTGTTTTGGTCCCATGCTATTGGATGATTTATAAACTAGTAGGAGAACTTTGAAATCTATTCTGTGGTTTACTGGTAACCAGTGTAGGGATCTGAACAGGAGTGATGTGCTCCGTTCTCTTAGTTCTTGTTAAGACTCTAGCAGCAGCATTCTGAACAAGCTGATGTTGCTTCACAGCTTTTTTGGGAAGACCGGTTAGGAGACCATTGCGGTAGTCCATTAATAATCACTACACGGCGGTTGTTCTGACATCTAAATCATCTCAGATTCCAGCGTCTCTCTGCCAGGATTCCTGACTGTACGAGCAGACAGAGATCTGAAGAGGAGCGGGAAAAGAAAAGGAGGTGGAGTGGCAGTGCTTGTCAACAACAGATGGTGCCATCCAGGTCATGTTTCAGTGAAATGTCGTCTCTGCAGCCCAGATGTTGAACTCTTGGCAGTAAGTTGTCGCCCATATTATTTGCCAAGAGAGTTCACCAGTGTTGTCTTGGCAACCGTTTATATTCCACCTTCAGCCATTGCTGAAAATGCATGTGATGCCATCAGTTCCGTTGTCGATAAGCTACAAACCCAGCACCCCAATGCATTTGTGGCTATATCTGGTGATTTTAATCATGCCTCGCTCTCTACGCTTCCAACATTTCAACAGTTTCAGTTCTTTTTAAAACAGAAAATGTTTAATTACCTGCAAAGTTTCGTTTGCGGCTGCAAACATCATCAGGCTGACGCCGATGGTGGCGTCATTTCCTTCGTTTATCCGCGGGAAGCAGAGAGCGACAACGTCCTCTGCTGCCCATTCTCCCCTCTCCGATGATGCGGTCCATCCATCCATCAATCTTCTGCACCCGCTTGTTGGGGGGGGGGCGGTGGGGTGGGGGTGGGGGGGGTGGGGGGCTGGTTCCCATCTCCAGCAGTCAACGGGCAAATAGGCGGGGTACACCCTGGACAGAGACCCAGTCCATCGCAGGGCCCGATGATACAGTCCCATGCACGATCCAATGTGTAAACTCCATCGTCTCTGTTCACGGTCCCACATCCACGTCTCCTTATCTCGATAGCTTCCTTTATTCATCCTTTGTATTTCTGTTGTTCGGTGTTTATGATCCTTGTGTCGTCCCAGTCCGTTACATGGTTTTCTCTTGTGCAGTGATCTGTTACGGCTGACTTCTTTATTGTGCTTTCTGCTTCTTCTTTTGCTGCTCTTGTGTGTTTTCGACTTGCCTCTTTCTCACACTCCTTTCTATGTTCTATTGTTCGTGTGTTGAGTTGGTGTCCGGTTTCTCCTACGTATGTTTTATTGCAGAGTTTGCATGGGATTTCGTAAATGACTCCACATTTAAGTCCAGCTGGTATCTTGTCTGTTGGGTGTACTAGTCTGTTTCTAACTGTTGTGTATGGTTTTGTTGGTGTTTATGTTGTGTTTTTTCACTGTTGCTCTTTCTGTTATGCCTTTGATGTATGGTAGTTATCACTGGTTGTGGTTCTTTGCTTTGGTTGTTTTTCTTTCTGTTGTTTTCCTTTGTTTATTGCCCATGTCTCCGCAGGTCTTTAAAGCGTTTGTATGTGTTTGTCCTCTTGTTTACGGTCTCCTTCTGTTACCATGTCGGAACGGAGTGGTTTTAATGTCTGAATCCTAAAACATCTTTCTGTGGCACGCTTGAACATCAGTTTCAGAGGTCATGAGAGGGAAGTATGAATGAATTTCGAACCTTCGATTGTCTGCAGTGCTGCTACCAAACATTTAAAAAGATGAGGAAATGAAAGTGAAAAGAAAAGAACTGAGTTTCAAGTCACAAACATCTGTAAACATCGAGGGTCTCAGTCACTGTGTGAGGGGCGGGGCTACAGTTTAGAGCACGAGTCATCACCTCCAGTCTCCTGCACCAACATACCTGATTAAACGGAACCAGGACTCTGCAGAACTTATCGAGTCGAGGTGATTAATCAACAGACCCAGGTGTGTTGGAGCAGGTAAGATGGCAGCTCTGGAGGTGGTTAGGCTCAAACTGGTTAACCTCATATATTACTTTGGGAGGAAACCCACACACGTCAGAGAACATAACTCCAACAAAACGGCTGCAAATGGGTCAAAAACCTGCAACCACCTTGCTGCACCGCCATGCATCAGGTTAGGATTAGTTCAAATGTCAAAAGGATCATCAAATATAAAAATAGGATTTAAAAAATGTCTGAACAGCAAAATAAAAACAACAAACACACGAAGTCACCGCACAAAACAAAAACAATCATGAGTTTTCTTTGGGTTTTTATTGGTTAGGTCATCCAGCTACCTCACCTTCAAATCAATAAAACAATTCTCTTTATTTAAATTAAAATATCTTTAAGAAAAAACTAAAACTCCACAAGACACACACACACACACACACACACACACACACACACACACAGAGTCAGGCGCACGTGCCACTTAAAAAAAAGGCAAGAAAATTATTCACAAAGTTTCTTCTGAAAACACTCGACTCAACAACAAACTAAAAATGATTTAAATGTGATTAAAACCGACTCTAGGAAGGTGAACACACACACAAACACACACACACACTGCCGCCGCTGTTCTTCAGTCCTGTTCCTCCATCTCTACAGGGTTTCCCTCTCTGCCTGCAGGGGCTGCGGGACTGGATCTGGGTAGTTTTCAGGTCTCCGTTGCTCTGCCGAGTTTTAAACACCAAAGGTGTTCTCGCCGCTGTACGCCACGTATAAAAACCCGTCCTCGTCCTTCTCTTTGTCATACAGCTGCCCCATCGTGATGCTGAAACAATGAAGGCAAATAATGGAGCAATAGTCAATAACCATACAGTTGTCACTCTGTTCCCAGAGCTAAATGAAACATAACGATGGTGGACTCCTGGTCACTCGGCTGCCCCGCCCCCTAGCCAACCAGTGACTCCACACCCTAACAAATCTGTGACCCTGCACTGGGCACCGAAAACATTATTGATCATCTGCGATGATCAGTCAGCTATTCATCAGTTTTTAAATGTTTCAAAACCTTTTCTAGCCTTGGTCTGAACAGAAAATAATCTGTTAAAAACCCCAGATGTGCTGCTTTCCCCTTAAAAGACCGGTCCAGACCCCTCAAGTACTCTGTATTGTGATTTGGTGAAGCTGTATTTCTAATCAGCCAAAAGCAGTTTGTTCTGTTGTGGACTGTCATGTGTTCCAGTTCCATGTTTTTGATTTGAACTGAAAATTATGTTTTTTTTTATTTGGTTTCAGATACAAATACAAATACATTAACTCTGCTTCAGTTTTTAAAAGGAAATAAAAAAAAAACACACACACACAAGTCGTGCTTCCGATCTGGTGGTTGTTCTTCTAGACCGGTGTTGTGTGTGAACGCTGACCTGGACTGAGGCACCGTCTTATCCACGAAAAGGAAAATGGCCTTCTCAGATGGCAGCTGGATGCGCTTCCTGATGATCCACATGAACTGCGCCACCGTGATGTCAGACGGGACCAGGTACTTCCTCTTGTCAATGTCCACTATCTGTGACCCGGACACCTTCTCCACGATCACCTGAGACATGCACAGAGGTCATGTGATACCGCAGAACCTTTCACTGCTCTGGTACGAACACATCCGATTACTTACCGGGACCCGGTCAGGGTACTTGCTGCGGATCTTGGCAGACTCGATGCATCGATGTTCTGCAGAACAGGAAAACTTTATGTTAAAGTTGATTTTGATAACCAGAGGGATCTGAACCTTTGAGGAGTTTTAACACCATCTGAGAAACATAAACCTTTATAAACTCACATCACAGCTGATGTGTGACAACAGAACGTAGACTCCAGCTGCTGATGAATGAGACTACACACCATAGATCCAGTCAAGAGACAGGAGGCCATCTGTGGCCATTCAAACATCCCAACTCCCACGCATCCTGTCTAACAGCTGGACTGACTGCTTCTTGATGAATTACTCATTTTCATTTGCTAATAATATCTCAACTTATTTTGTTTGCTGTAAAACGATTTGTTCCTTCATATGAATAACTGACAGCAAAATTCCCTCTCTGGGTTTTAGCCTAAAAGAAAAAGTAGAGTTAAATTTCTGATAAATGATTTGTTCAAAAACTAGAAATGACTTCATCGAACTTCCTCTCCCTTAAAATCAGCTGAACTTCAGCCGGTCAGACTGAATCTAGGTTTTAACAGAAAAGTTTCACAGAAATGAAAGAAAAAAAAATCAGTTTAAACAACAAAGAAAAACTGTTTAAGAGCAGGTCAATAATACATGTGGTTCTTTGTGGTTATAGTTTAACCCACCTGTGCTGAGACCAACAGGTGAGTGAGAGATATTGGTGTTTTTATTCTGCTCAGTGATACTATATAATTATTTTTTTCTTTGATTCCTACACAAATAAAATTGTGATATAATATATCGTTTAGTTTTTTGTCAGCCTGAAATAACCAAGAGGCAGCTAACAGTTTTATCATGAAACACTATCGGCTACATAAACATCAGGCACTGATGGGGCAGCTAAAGGTCCTTTTCCTGTTTACCTTCTGCAGCGGTAGCTAACATGGTAGCTAAAGGCAACTGGGGCAAGTTAACCGGGCCGCGGGTGAATCCACAACACCGACAACACTTTATTGAGATTTAAACAAACCCAGTCAGAAGTTTGTGACTGTAAATAACACCGGTGTGAATGTTTCCCATCACGGCAACAGCGGCCTCCGCTCTTACCGAGGGAGTGATCCTCTTTGAACATCCATTTCATTGTGGCCGTTTCGGTCTGGTACCACTCGATGCAGCAGCTTTCAGATGCGACTCCTCGTAATTTCGGTTAACGAGCGGGTCACTCTGTGGCTCTCCTCGATGATTGGGCTTCCCGGAGGCCGATGCAGCCGTCAAACCTCCACCTAAACAACAACAACAACGTGACGTCCACCGTCCCCTTCTTCCTACTCTACTGCCAAGCTCCGCCCCCTGCCCTGTCCACGGACGGACTGTACCACTCCACCACTGCGGGTGGAATAGCAGCCCAATCTCAGCGTTTGCACGTTGAAATAGTTGAAATGTTTTAAATTAAAAATACATTTTTGCATTTTAAATTAAAATGCAAAATAATCATTTTGAAAGCTTCAGGTGTTTTGAGGTGTGTGTGTGTGTGTGTGTGTGTGTGTTCTGTCTTCTTGATCCCCAGTGAGTCGTGGCGGATGGCTGCTTATACTGAGCCAGGATCCTCTGGAGGTTTCTTCCTGTAGGGAGTTTTCCTCTCCACTGTCGCTGCATGCTTGATTAGTATGAGGATTGCTGTAAAGTCACTGACGACTTGATGCAATTTGCTGGGGCTGAAGATGATACCATTATCATTTTTATCTTCCATCCCCAAAGAGGTTCATTGATGGTCTGCCTTTTATAAGGGAACATTAATTATGTAGAGCGGCTTCAGTTCCCTGATAATAAGTGGATACTTCCAACCTTCATCTCTGCTAGAAGATGAGAATGCTCAGAGGGTCTCACCAACTGCTGTGCAAGGAAGTTGAGTGGGCTTTTTAAATATAGTTACAAATCAAAAGTTGCTGCCCAACTCCATTTTGTTTTGATGACATGCATATGGCTGATCACAGAACGCATCTCCATTTGTTTTAAGGATGATTAGATGCCTGATGAAATCTGTGGATGTCCGTCAAAGGGTGATGAAATCAAACTTGCTGGCTCAGAGGGGGCTGCATACACATGCTGTCACTACAAATACAGATACATGCCTGAAGTTTTAGGGTTTGTCCCCAATAACCAACTCTGATTTGCAACGGAAATCTGGAAGATTGAGTTATTCTTGTAGATTTTTAATTAAAAATATATAAATAACTTAAAATTTTCTTATTTAAATTGGCTTTAAATGTCCATGGCTTAGCAAGCAGCCTTTTGGGTAAAAAAAAAAACCCAATAAGAACTGATTTATTCTAATGTTTTTGCACCAAAAATTATAGGTCATATATATATATATATCATATGACATATATATATATATATATATGCACTCTCAGATTCAAATTGTTTTTCCAGCTCTGAATCTATCCTTCCAGCAGCTGACCCAAGTGTGATATAAGTCAGCATAGCCTTTCTGTGATGTTCACTGTTTTCATGCTCTTTCATCCGGTTTGTGGCATGTTTCCAGTCACTGAAACCAGTTTCAAAGCACGATTTGCTTTTAGCATCACTGAAAATGCAGCATGCAAAACAAAACACAGCTCCGGTAGATGGAGAGTAAAGCAGCCACTGTCTTTGGACATACTCACCATTGGCGAGTCTGCGTTTAAAGTGCGATCTGGAGAAGAACCGCTTCTGCTGTTTGTACACTCGTTCGGACGCTTTAAAATTTACGTCCATGCGTTGGCAGCTCTGTGGTCCTTGCTCAGCCCAGTAGGCACGCACAGATGCATCACATTTTCCCCAGCAAGCTGGATCCGTACTGTAACAAGGTTCATCCAAAGTTTCAATCCATGGCCCAGACGCACTTTCGGTCGCCAGTTTTCCACAATCACTCTCCGATGGGAAAAGATAATCCATGGAGGACGTGGTGGTCTCAGATGCCTCCAGGTCGAGCGTCTCTGCTGCCGGAACATCCGCCGCGGATTCAGCCGCCAATTTTCCACAATCACTCACTGACAGGAAAAGATCATTCGTGTTGTTGGACTTGGTCTCAGCAGGTGCCGTCGTGGTGTCGGACCGGCCGCACATGGGGGTATGTCAGGCTGCAAACGCCCGCCGTGATGTAAGAAGTGTGAGAAAACTTGGACCAGTTATAAGCAGTCATGACAGATGTTTGCCAAAACAAATCCCAGTGCTTCTCAGCTAAATGGTAGCTTCTTGTTAGAGAATTACATACAAAAATAAAAATGCTTTTTGGACCTCCAGCGGGGCCTCCAGCACGCAGGGGCCCAGGGCTGTAGCCCAGGTAAGCCCATGCGAAAGTCCGGGGGTGCAGGAAGGCTTCTGCCGTGAAGTGAAGATGCTAATGCTAACAGTTTGCTTAAACTAGCCGAGATGTCCGCTACTGATTCCTGGACGCTAAAAAAACAACAGCCTTCCTCGTCACGAGTCTGTGAATGCTAATTCGCAGTGTGATGTAGATCTGTGAGGACTTTCTAATCCTTGCTTTTGTATTTTATATCAGAAGCTAATGTAGAAGATAGGTGTAAGAGATTATTTTCATGTTCAGCCTGCATGAATAACGCAGCGGTACCGAGTATAATCCGAAAAGCATTTAAAGAATGGTTTGTCAATCAACCACACCCGTAAAAGAGCTCCAACATTCACAACATGGTAATCAGGACGACGCCATTACAAGGAAGCTTTACTTTAAAATAATTGATGGTTACAAGCTGCATTTTAGATTTCCAGAAGTCAATCTATCCTGGATTTTAGATATTAACCTCCTTCTAGGTCATCGTCACAGATCCACATTCAACCCCTTCTGACTTAAAGCGACCAGATGGAGCATGAAGATGAGTACCTCCATCAGAAACCTGCCATATTCAGGCCCATGCATGTCTACTGCCCCCTGGTGGAGGATCAACAGGTGGTGAGAGCCAGATTTATTTCTTTATACTGTCAGATTGTTATAAAATCACTTAGAATAAAACTGATTGCTATTTAGTTGGTGATGATATGATGACATTAGACAATAAATGATTCGATTTTAATAAACTAAATTCTTCTTATTTTATATTTTGTGCTTTCAAATAGAGACAAAGTGTGAATGTTGTCTTTGGTATGTGTTATTGCTGTGTCTGCAAGTGAGAAAATAGGATAGAATAGACTTTATTGATCCCACAGTGGTGAAATTCACTCATTAACACCAAGAGAATAGACTTAGAGAAAAACAGGTAAATACACAAAGGCAGTAGGCTATTACAAGGTTCAACGAGGTTCTGGTTCTGATAGTTAAAGTAATCTTTAGAGTGATTTAAGTAAAAAATGTTAAACATCTAATTTCACTTTCTGTACTAATATAATGAACATTGAGTGTAGACGATGGGGGTGAGGAGGTTTTACTTCTTGCTTCCTGTGGGCGGAGCTTTAGTCTGGTTGTCAGGTGGCAAAGGCTTTCCAAGATGATGCCCTGTGCTGATGCCAAATGGTTGACATGCTTGCTCTTCCCTCACCTCTTGCTTAAGCTTGAATCCCGCCATAAAAGACAGGTCAAAGAACTCGCAGGGAGGAAAGGTCAAAGGGTTTTCCTCCAGCAGTCCTTTCAGACGTGCTCGCCATCCTTCCAGCAGCTTGGCACGTACGTCTGGAGGACAATGACCTGGACCCCAGAAGATCTGAGGTGCCAGAACCTGAAATCCACAGAAGTTCAGAGTTCCATTCTGAAAACAGACAGACAGACAGATGTTTTTCAGAACCTGATTTGGTTTGTGACCCACCAGAACCTGACCTGAGCCCACAGATGGCTGTTGGTGGTGATTCAGTTCTGCAGCTCAGTAACGTCATTAGTCAGCCGGTCCTAGTGATTAGAGAGTCGATCTTTGTTCCAAACCTCACATATGGTCATGAGTCTCGGGTGATGACTGAGAGAACAAGACTGCAAATGCAGGAGTGAGACAGGTGGAGGAGCTTGGGAATCCAGAAGGGACTTGGAGTAAAACCAGAGCTAGCTCAGAAAGTTCAGGAATCATCCTGGATGCTTCCAGGGGAGATGATTCATGCATGTCCTACTAGCAGGAGGCCAAACAATGACCCAGGACACCCAGGAGAGATCGTATCTCCACGCTGGCCAGGGAACTATGGACGTAATTTTCACTTTAGAAGTGTGTGTGTGTGTGTGTGTGTGTGTGGGGGGGGGGGGGGGGGGGGGTATTTACAGTATGCTTTAATGGGAAACAGGCTTCAACACAAACAGTTGTTTTCTGCTTGGTCCTAGAGCTCAACCAGTGTCAATTTACTATAGCGTAATATTGTTTTTGGATGGTAAAAAGTGCAGGGGTCAAAACTTGACTTTGGAAAAAGTGGGGGGGACATGTCCCCCCCCCCCCCCCCCCCCCCCCCCCCCCCCCCCTTCAAGTTATGTCCAGGCAGGGAACACCAAACAGTTCCTCTGGAGGAGCTACAGAAGTTTGCAGTGGAGAAGTTGGCCGGGGCCTGCTGCTGAGGCGGCTGCTACAGATGAGATAACTCCAACACTGATGTTGGTGATAGGTAGGTTTATGAGAAGAGAGTTAAGGACAAAGATCTGAGGTTCAGACCAGACTGCAGACCACCCATGGTGCAGTCAGAACCCTTCTCACCTGGAGAGGCCACAGGACCACGTTAATGTCCCCGTTGATGCCGTCAGGACTACACATCGACTGTGTACTTCCAGTAGTGAAGGACAGCATGGCCTTTTTACCCTAAACACACACACACGCACACGCACACACACACACACACACACACACACACACACGGTAATTCATCAAATAAAAAAGTTCTATTGCTGTTTGTGACTGATCGGGTGGTTTGTGTGAATGTGATCAGGATCTCACCCTGAAAATCCCGTTGCTGTACATGTTCTGGAGCGAGAAGGCGAACCCTTGGGTGAGCACTCGGTCGATCCAGCCCTTCAGGATGGCCGGAACGCTGAACCAGTACATAGGAAACTACCGCAGGCACACACAAAGCACCAGCTCAGAGAGGCCTTTTGTTTTGTGTGTGCGTGTGTGTGTGTGTATGTGATAACTAAAAACAAAACTAATCAATCATTTATAAACAGTCTCAGGAAAACCATTTTTTAATTCCAAACAGCAACTTTATAAAAATCAGAGCTGAAACAATCATCTTATGTTTGAAGAGTAAAGAAAACCGAGATAAACTAAAATGTTAGAGCTGCAGCCACTCGCTCATCAGGGACACTGTGGCAACCGGCCACTTGTGTTGCCCCCCCTCCCTGACAGGAAGTCAGACTAAAACGAAACAGCAGACAAACAGCTGCTGGGTGAAAACTAAAAGTGCTTTAGAAAAACAGTGCGTGTCTTATCGGGGTCTCCATGGTAACCAGCCACCTGCGTCTCTCCAATCTGTGTAAAAATCTCCAAACATCCTCCAGTGATCAAAGACATCAGAACAGCAGTCTGATCATGGAACATCCAACTTCCTGTGACGCGTTTAGACTCTGAGCTATAAATCTCCAGAGGGGGCGGGGCTTCCTGACCTGGTTCACCTGTCTGTGGGGGTGTCTATCATAGATATCAATGAATGTCATCTCCATCATACAACAAACTGCTCCCAAGAGTCACAGCTCACTGGTCCTGATCGGACTAAAGGTTCTGATGGTTTTTTTTAAAGCCTCAGCGTGAAAACAGACAAAAATCTTAACAGGAAGTTATGAGGCTTCTTCATGGATCATTACCATTAAACTGAGACTGATTTGTGACCTCTGACCTGGAAGATGATAAGATCTGCCTGTTTGACTTTATCCTGCTCCTGTCTGATGTCCTCACTGAGACGGCCGTCCTTCCAGGCGAGCATCGTCTCCTCTCCGTACTGAAACTTGTCTGGATTCTTCAGGTCGCCTGCACACACACACACACACACACACACACACACACACACACACACACACACACACACACACACACACACACAGGTTTAACATAATTTATGGTAAAAAAAAAAGCTTAAATATGATCAATCAACCTAACCAAAAAAAAAAAAAAAAACCAAAGAGACGATAAAGAAAACATGAATGACAGGAGGAAAAGGAGCGGCTCACCGATGATGTCATCCTTAGTGGCACTAGCCCTAAACTTCATGGCGTAGAGGTCAGACACCACGACCTTAAATCCCTGAGCCTCCAGCTCCTGGACCGCGGCATCCCGGACCGCCGCGTTGAAGGAGGCTGGATTCTGGTGAGCGAACACGATGAGAGCTGTTTTCCGATCTGGGAACGACAAACAGGAAGTTTGTTTTCAGAACCAAGACCAGAATATGACCAGTACCTATTCTGTCAAGTTTAAAATCTTGTTTGTTTTTAAATCCGTTAAAGGCCTTGCCCCCTCTGAGCTTCTGGTGCCCCATCCTCCAGCCAGAAGTTTGTGGTTTAGCCCTGTTTCTTCTGGAGGTCCCAAGAACCAACCCGAAAACTTGTGGGGACATCTTTTCCGTAGCGGACCCAACACACTTTAGAATAAAAGGACCATTTGAAGAAGCATTTAGTTAAACCTAATGTGGCAAGGTGGAGTAACGAGGGACCCGGCGGGATTAGATCCCCAGACTCCGAGGTGAGAGTCATGTGTGTTTACCAGCCAGCCAGAGGGACATCCCCTTGGCTACGCGGCCAGGGCGCATGATCAATCGGGACACTGTGACAGGACGCTCCCACTGCCACACTAAAATTATAATTTATTGGCTACATGTACCTGGTGTATCAGTGTGATCAATGTTACTGTTTCATGCTTTTATTGTCTCATTTTATTCTTTCTTAGTTTGAAACTAATAATTTCCGGGCCGGCGAAGCCCTTTGGTCAGCTCAGCTGTCTTTAAATGTGCTTCACAACTAAACTTGACCTTGACCTAACAGAACCAAAAAGGTCAAATGACACACAAACAAAAAAACTAAAACACATAAAAATGCTAAACGCATAAATAACTAAAACCCACAAACTAAACGTTCTTGTTTATTTATGTGTTCTAGTCATAAATGAACATAAACAAAAATAAACTAGAGAAATTCTACTTTAACACCTTTGAAGCAGACAAAAAACCTGATATCTAAAATGAAAGTTTGTTGAAACTTTTTCAGATGAGAACAATCATTAATAATTCCATTCATTTGATGTTCTTCAAATGAGCACAGCCTGCATTCCAGGAACGATCAGGTCATTGTTTCTGTAGAAACCCGCCCAGAACTTTATTCAGAGACTCAGAAACCGGGTTTCTCCTCCAGAAACATGGAAAAGTTCAGCTGATCTGCAGCAGAAGATGAGAATCTTACCCATGATGATTCAGTAGACTCCGTCTGCAGTCTGGACGTGTTTCCTGTGGCTCTTATAGACCCAGCAGCTAGCGTGAGAGTGCTGCTGTAGCCGGAAAGTGAGAACCTCATGGTTATGTAACAAAGGAATAAAAAAACAGGTCTGAGAGGCTGCAGAACCGGTTCTGCTCAACAGGAGGAGACGTGAGCAGAGACACAATCCAGAGAGGAGCTGGTTCTAAATTCTGGAGTCATTTTATTCCCAGAACCAAACAGGTTTTGATCCTGGAACCACATTCTCTAAAGCAGGGGTTCCCATCTGGGGTCTATGACCCCCAAGGGGGTCCACACAAGAATGTCTGTGCAGAAGCTGTGAGGTTACCAAAACTGTTTATGTAAAAAATACATTTTTAAAATCCCAATCTCACACCCAGTAGTATAATTTAATCTTTATCGGAGAGTCAGCTCTGTAAAATCACTGTTGATGCATAAATGCGGGTAGGAGTTGGTGCTAGGGGTCCTCGACTGTCCTGGAGCCAGACAAGAGGGTCCTGAAGGACAAAAGGTGCTCTAATAATAATAATAATAATAACAATAATAATAATAAAAAAAAATAATTATACATTTTATTTGGAGTGCCTTTAAAAAAACAAGGACACTACAATTAGTTTAAAAAATAAATAAGAAATTAAAACATTCAATGACTAGAAAATTTAAAACCCAAATAAAACATCAGATAAATTCTATTTCAATTCAAGTTTATTTATAAAGCGCCAAATCACGACAAGAGTCATTTCAAGGCCCTTCACATAGTAAACATTCCAATACAGGTCAGGTCATTAAGCCAATCAGAAAAAAGTTCCTTATAAAAGGAACCCAGCAAATTGCATCGAGTCACTGACTAGTGTCAGTGACTTTACAGCAATCCTCATACTAAGCATTTAGCGATAGTGGAGAGGAAAACTCCCTTTAAAACACTTGTAACAGTGACTAAGCAATTTTGAAGAGATGAGTTTTGAGATTAGCCTGAAATAGGTGAAGGGTAGTCACATTCCTAAAGTGAGCAGGTAATGAGTTCTCTGACTGAAACTTTAGATGCTCCAAATCCAACTCGGCACAAGTCTGTCTCTTCAGACACGGAGACACACGACTCCTTCGCGCCATGACACTCAGTAATGCTACCTGAGCACCTTTATCACCTGATCTGCTGTTCAGAGTTCTGATAACCAGCAAATTCAGGGTCAGATTTCACATCATGGAAACGTTTTGTTTGGTTTGCTTTCAAGCTGCTGTTGATTGATGAGTTGATCACATGACCCTGGGCAGTTTACACACCTGCTCAGGTGAAGATGGTGAGGTTTTTTTTTAAATCTAATTTGATCTTTTAGTCACTGCAGAATGATCCAGACACATTCTGATTAGGTGTTTTGACAGCATTTAATGATCACCGTGGCAACCATGGGAGTATAGTGTCACCTGACTCATGGGGTGGACTATACAGACTAGAGCTGACACAGGTGTTGTTCTGACCAAAGTGACTTGCAGGAACTCTGGACTCTAGTGCCACCTGCTGGGGTTTGAGATGCTTCTCTATTCTTCTGATCCTTCTGTCCTCAGCCGTGGAAATCTAATATAATCATTTATAAGAAAACTGAACTAAAGTCTGACCTGCTGATAACAAGCTGCAGGAAATGATGGAGCTGCAGAACCTGAAGTGGAGGTCTGTATCTCCAGGCTGGAGGAAGCTCAGCAGTTGCCTCCGGCTCCAGAGGAAGAAGATGGACTTTAAGAGAACCAATAAGGAACTGAAATAAATGATCTTCAATTTAATAGATCCATACAATCTCACCTTTAGACCTTAGATAGTAGATCTTGTCATCCTGCTTTTATTTTGGTAGATATGGTTTACAGCGGTCTGAGTTTACATGCTAATTAAATATTTGATTAAAACCACATTTAATTTTAACAATTCAATGTAACTTTTTAGATCTGATTCACAACAAGATGGTAAAAGGGGCGGAGCTTATAGACACAGAGAATGTGACAGTTTCCTGCATTCATGTCATACCTGCACAGAGGGTCAAGAGTGACACAAATTCATAAACACATAAAAGATCAAAACAATAAACTATTCATTAAAATTATTACAATCTCAAATAAACATCGAATGCTTTGGAATAATGTTATTTATGAAATTGTTCATCGTGGTTTTATTTTACATGTTAGTCCCCTGAATGGCAGGGTGTACTAAGGCATACTATTGCAACAACGGGAGAGACAGGGGAGGGCTGAGAATTGACCCTTTGGTACTACCCAGGAGAGGTCAACCTTAAAATCACCCATCCTCATACAGAGCATCCTCTCAAACAGGTAGGACCTAACCCACCGGAGAGCTGATTCAATATATTTGGTACATTCTCGCGGTGTACTTCTAATTCCATTTTTGGTTCTTTTTTAAACACAGAAAAGGTTTCTATTTACCTTGCTGGTTTTAAAAAAGAACCAAAAATGGAGCTGATTCAATGATCTCAAACCCGCTGCTTCAGAAATCATTGTGGTCCACAATGTCGCACACAGTGGTCAGGTCTCATAATAAAAGGACCATAGATTCCCCAATCGGCGGCCGCCTGGGGCCCCCTTAATGTTGGGGGCCCCCCTAGCCCTGACTGCTGGCACCCCTCTGTTAATGCCACATTGGACTATTCCTTTAAAAAACGCCGATGCACAAACAGGAAGTGATTGGTGGTCATTCCCCTCCAATCCAGTTGGTGGCAGTAATGCACCAAATTGTTGTTTGCCAAGTGCCATAAGACCACAAATAAGAAGAAGAGAAAGCAGAGGAAGAAGAAGAGAGGCGGGAGCATTCGTAACAAACTTGAAGCGATAGTCAAAACATTAAGCATGAAATGGAGTTATCCTATTGGCTCCAGTAAGAGAAGAAGCAGCTTGCTTGAAAAAAGCTTTTATCTTCACTTCCGAAAGTTACATCGTTTTACAATGTAAACATCAAAAGGAAGCAGAAAATGAAAGACAATGGAAAATGTTTACAGAGAGGAAAACAAACCAAAGTAGTAAATAGAAGAAAAAAAGAAAGGCAAAAGCACAGGAGCACTGACAGGAAGAAGAAAGCAGAGCAAATATTGAAGGCACTCAAAGGGAGAGAGAGACAGGAAAAAAGAGGAGGACAAATAAAAAAGTGAAAATTACTCATGTCAGAAGAAAGTGGAGTTTCGCAAATTCAGTGAAAGATAAGATTGTCAAAAGTTTTGTGTAAGGGGGCCCCATGTCTGTGTTTGCCTTGGGCCCCTAAATTGCTAAATCCTCCACTGGATAAATCTACCTAGCCTACATTTTATTTTTTACGAACTTTGTTTTGTTTTCTTGGTTTTTATTTTCCTGTCTTCCTGTCCTGTCTGTCTCTGATCTTCCTGCATCTCCCAGTCCTCCAGAAAAACTCCTGCCTGCTTCCTTCTTTTTCACCTCACAAGTAACTTTTTAACTAGCAGATCAAATCGATCTATCGACCGTAAAAAAAGCGGAGAGTGCGCTGCGCTGCCCGGCTGCGCCAGTGACGAGCGCTGAAGCGGAGACAGCGCGAACGCGTCCACACGTCAAGCTCAAATACAGACAGAACTTACCAGAGAGAAAATGAACGGACATGAACGACTGTGTATTAATTACACATTTTTTGGTGACGCCACTTAGAAACTTAGAAAATGTTACTGTGGCCGTGGAGTTCATGAATAATCAGCGGTCTGCCTGCCGCTCTCTGCATCTCTGCCCGAAAGAATCCCCGCTACTCTGAGTCCATATAAATAATATAATACAGGTAGAAACTGGATCTCTTTTGTGCTCCTTCTGGGTGTGTAAGTTAAGGGCATCAGTGGAGCCTGACAACCTTTAAGGAGAACCAAGTTGCTCTCCTGTAATTTGAACCCAGTATCTGACTCCGGATCGGGGCTTGGATCGGGAAGTAAAGCCCGAGTCCCGATCGAGTCTGAAACCACGTGATCGGGCCGATTTCCGATCATGTGATCGGATCGGGACATCCCTAGTATTATGTTGTGATTTATAGTGACTTTTGTTTATTTGTCTGTCGATCAGAGCTTTGTTATTTGTCAGGTTTAAGCACCTGAGACACCATATAACAACACAGCACAGGGAAAGAGACACAAAAGTCAGAATTATGTTTTAAGCTCTAGGAGAATGGAATGAGGCCGCACCAACTCAGTCTCCACTGAGCTGACGGTTCCTCCAAACCATTCTGGCCTTTTGGAATCCGAGCATCTCTATTTATTACAAGCTGGGAGCTTCCCTAGTTACATGCCTGAGCGCTGATTCTGAAGGGAGGGGGAAAACACAGCTCTCAGTCTTTAATTGTTACAAGTTTCACACAAAGAGCATTCATTATTACACTAACTTTCAGTGTCTAATCACACGATGAGTAGCAAACAGTTGCACGAGTCAGCAAATGACTGATCAGCAGATCTCCTCGGGTCATCTTTGGGTCACATTAGGTCAGATTTTAACACCCTTAAAGTCTCATGAGGGGACTTTACAACACAGCAACTGTTTAAGCATCAAATGGTAAAAGCATTAAGCATAAAACATGATAAATGAAAACAATCTTTAAATGTAATAAAAGCATAAAGCATGATAAATTAAACATGAATAATTATTCTATCATTATTATTATTATAGTTGAGTGATTTCTGAATCCTGGATATGAAACACAGCTAAAGATAAAAGCTGTGAACCAGTGTGAGGTTTGAGTTTGTTCACTGAGCTTTGATCCAGTCAGAAATAATGTTAACGGCTTTGAGTCTTTTTAAGTCATTAACATTAAATGTGAGTTTATTTATGAATCAGAAACAGGTTTTATTTTTACATCAGGACCAAATAGATGATGGGAAACCATCCCAGATGTTTTGGTTAAATCACAGGAGTTTGATGTGAAACCAGTGCCATCACTACCTACTTTACCAGCTTTAAGCTCAAACACTGGACTTTGTTCTCATGTAGTCCAAATCTCAATACGTAGAAGCACTTTTTCCTCTTTAACTGAACTCAGTCAGGCGTCTGTGAAGTCAGGTTTTAAGTGTTTATTTTATTTCTGTGAAGAATTCTTCGATTAGCAGAAATAACTGGCGCTTTAGCTCACCTAGTAAG